GTTACCCTTGCACGTGCGGTCTCTCCCGCACCTCCGCTTCCACACCTGCCTTTTATGTAGTGTACCACACGGCCATCCCCTACTTCCCGCACGTGCGGAAAAACCTCGGCTTGTCTCCCGACACTCCAGAGTCTACCTTGCACCCTCTGGGACAAGTCAGAAACTCACAATTGAAACAAACAAGAGCGAAGATTTTGAGGAGAAGTCGTCAAAAACAACGAACTCTGCTGTTGACAGGACCACAATGTGAAACCTAACACTTAAACGAAGACAAATCCGACATAACTCAAGAGAACAAGGTAACTCACGTACTGGTCACCACAACGATGTATTCGATGAATCGTAAAATATGAATGGTTCGAATTATTAAAATAGGGCCCAAAAATGAGCCCAATAGGCCCGACAACACCAAAAATAAAAAGCAAATAAATGTAGCCAAAAATAAAAGGAAAATTTATAAAATAATAATAAATAAAAAAACTCCAGTATCTAAGTCTAACAAAATAAATCCTGAATTCTCAATTTAAACCATCTACATATTTTTGTTCAGTAAAACTGGCAAAAAATGAGCATTTTTGTTAGAAGGATCAAACTCTTAATTTATTTATTTTAATTTTTCTAATGAAAATCAATTCAAATGGAAGGAAATATCATTTTACCCCCCAAACTATTACGTAAAAATCAATTTAACATTGAGACTTATCATTATTTTAATTTGACCCCTAAACGTTTTTAAATTTGATTAATTTACCCCCGCCGTCTATTTCCGCCTACAATCAAATGGAACTTGTTGACATGGCAATTTCATTTGGAATTTCATTTTACCCCCAAACTATACCTTAAAAATCAATTGGCCCCCCAAATATAAAAAAAATGAAATTTAAATATTTAATAAATAAATTTTTTGTCTCAATAATGAAAAAAGTAAATTTTAAATAATATATTTTGCAAAAAAAAATATAAGAAAATATAAAAATTGTCAAATTATTTCGAGTTGACCATGGAGAAATTAACTAAGCCAAAAAATTCTTGGCTACTCTATGTGTGTGCGCGCGTGCAATTATAACTAGTTTATTTCTCCAAATAAATTTCAATAAAAATTGATCGACTAATAGTAATTTTAAAAATGAGTGGGTAAAAAAAAAAATTCAATTCAATTACTGTCTAAAGAATTCAACATGACTAAAACTCAATTTTTATTAAAATTTAATTTTTTAATTTTGAGATGAAAGTTAATTAAAATTTTAAATTTATTTTTTTTAATATTTGTGGGACTAATTGATTTTCAAAGCATAGTTTGGGGGTAAAGTGAAATTCCAAATGAAATTTGAAACCATGCTAGTAAGTTCTATTTTATTATAAACGAAAACAAATGATGGAGAATAAATTGATCAAATTAAAATAATATGAAATCTATATACAAAATTAATTTTCATGTAATAATTTACACGATAAATTGATATTTGTCCTCCAAATGATTTATTTTTAAAATAAGAACTAAAACGATGCCATATAATAGTGCTGTTGTATAATAACGCAGTACTATAACGTACAGCAGCATCCATCCCCTTAGGAAAAAAGATTGAAAGTTTTAAATTAAGAGTTCTAATAGTTTTAATTGATGTGTGAGTCTCATGTAATGTGATGTTTTGGCCTTGATTTTTTTTTTTTTTTTTATATGACTGTCCACATCATTAATACTTTTTTAAAACTCTCAAATTAAAAGAATGTATCATTTTTGCATCCCCCATATACACGATTAAAGAAGCTCCTGTACTAAATTTAATAAATTCCACAAAATGAGATATGCATTGAACCACAAAGTACATACTTTTCCATGTGTAGTGGCAGGCCTATTATAATATAAATTGTTGTCATAAATGTATGGTTTGTTGGCTGTTGATTGATTTTGATAATTCGATGCTCAAGGTTCATATGATTCTAATATAATTCACGTGATGACATATCTTTGATTGATTCTCAATTCTTTGAATGGTCATCATAGTCTTGCGTATTCAGAGCTCATAGAGTCCATATTGACATTGAGTGTTAATATTTTTATACGTTACTTAAAAAAAAATAGAATTAATTAAAATAAGTAATATTGTTGTTGTTTTATGTTTTAATCATTTATACATGCACAAAGAAAATATTAGAGTTGTAACATCAAAGAAAAATTGAACCAATTGTGCCACAATAAACATTATTATTCTTACATTTTTAGTTACAAAATTGAATTAAGAGCTCTTTATTGAGAATGAATTAATTCTACTATACATTTTTTTTTTCATATATAAATAAATAATTTCTTAGTAGTATAATTAAATAAACAATCCAATATATCTACAAGTCAACAAGCAGCAATCTATTCAAATTCTAGAGATTTTAATTTGAGGAAATATCATTTTACCTCCCAAACTTTCACGTATTTTTCCATGTAACTCTCAAACTTCGATTAATATCAATTTTACACCCAAGCTTTTGAAATTTTGATTAATTTGGCCCCTGCTGTCACATTCCGTCTACAATTGGACGAAATATGCTGGCGTTACACCAAAGTTCATTTGGAATTTCATTTTATCCTCAAGCTATACCTTAAAAATCAATTTTCCCCAAATATAAAAAAAAATAAATTTAAATATCTAATAAATAACTTTTATCTCAATAATGAAAAAATTAAATTTTAAATAATATATGCTTTGCCAAAATATATATATATATATATATATAAAAATCCTCATTTAGAATTATCTTGAGACCATGAAGCATGTGTATTTCGACAAACATGTTATACCTGTACTGGGTACTTATCGGATTTTGAAATTACTATTAGTCGATTGTGCGTGCACACACATAGAGTAGCCAAGAAATTTTCGGTTCAATAAGTTTCTCTAGGATCGACTCAAGATAATTTGAGACCTATGAAACACAGGTACATGTATGAGTATTGGTATTGGAATGATACGGGGTACGTCGACGCTGTAAAATCCAAAATAAGTAGGGTATAGGTACGCCTTAATACGTTTGTAAAACAATATTTGTTTTTAATTTGGAATAATACAAAAATTGATTAAATGGTTTAATTTGTGAAATCCAACATACAATTGACATTTAATCCCAAAAGTATAGATATAAGATAAACCAAAATTAAATATTATTATATTAAATAACTTATGAATCAAAACTTAATTTTAAAATCATAATAAGTATAAAACTAAAAATGAAAAACAAGTCGAGTAAAAGGAAATTTATCTTTATAGTAGAAAAAAGTATTGTTTCGATTGAGGTACGTCATGGCTTGAGTATATATTAGATATACCTAAGTACGTCAAAAATTAACAAAGAAAATTTTGAGTATGTGTTTTGTGTACCCAGTATGTATGCAGAAATATCATACGTCGTTAAGTACTCGGTACGAGTACGACATGTTTGTCGAATTATTATCCATACTTCATAGTCTCAAGATAATTTTAAATAAGAATTTATATATTTTTTATTATTTTTTTTGCAAAGTATATATTATTTTAATTTTAATTTTTTATTATTGAGATAAAAATTATTTAATGAAATATTTAAATTTAATTTTTTTATATTTGGGGAGCAAATTGATTTTTAAGGTATAGTTTTGAGGGGTAAAATGAAATTCCAAATGAATTTTGACGTCACGTCAGCACATTCCGTCCATTGTAGACGGAATGTGACGGTAAGGGTCAAATTAATCAAAATTTCGAAAGTTTGAATGTAAAATTGATATTAATTAAAGTCCAACTATTAGGACTATTGGTAAGGACGATTAGGACTATTGTAGACAGAATTTTAACGACGATTTTACTATGACTTATGGAAATTAAATCCAACTATTAGGACTATTGGTAATTTACCCTAAAAAAAAATAAAAATTATCTTAAATTTTATAAGATTTTTTTTCTAAATAAGGGCTTTGTTTTTAGTCCAAATCTAGCAGGTCAAAGTGGCCGTTTTGCCGGGTTGCTCATGAGTCGGCCATGCAATATACTTAGCATAAAAAAAGCAATTCACCAAAACACAGCCATACATTTTCTTTGCTCAATGGGGCTTCCAAGCTTAAGCTTAAGCATGTCATGGCTAGTTCACAATTTGCATATTCATCTAATACTCTTATCTTGTTTGAGCATGCTCAACACTGGCTTTACTACTACCATATTCAGCTCCAGGCTAATGGGGAACGAGACCAACCGGATAATTGAGGATCTGCTGTATGTTTAGACGTCCTGGAATGACTCTATCCACTTCTGTCAATGGCAGGGCATTATTTAAAGGAAAATTCCATGTAGCACTAGCTTTTACCTCACAATTCCATATTCAAAGGAATATTCCATGTAGCACTTTATTAAGTGTTCCATGTTTTCCTTTGTTTCCGATGTGGGACAAAGCCCCAAGCTTATTTCATGCTTTCCAAAAAAAAAAAACATTGAAGGTTTTAAAAACACCCAAAAATAAACTCTAAATTTGAAAACCCATTTTGAAAATTCCCCAACAAATTTTTCATTTCTTTGCCACCTGTGTTTAGATAACAACTACTTTGACGGCAACATTCCTGATGGTTTTGATTAATTGAAGAATCTTCAGACACTAGCACTCAGCATAAATAGGTTGCCTGGCGTCATCCTTGCCTCGCTCTTCAACCACTCTTCTTTCACAACTTTTGATGTCATTATTAACCAAATTTAGGGAAGTCTTCCATGGGACTTCGGAATCACTCTTCCCAATCTTGAAGGTTTCAGCATTAGTGAAAACCAATTTACAGGATCAATTTCGGTTTCAATATTGAATGCATCTAAACTCTATTCCCTAGAAATGGTTAAAAACAAACTTACTGGAAAGGTTCCTAATTTATCGAGGCCGCAAAACCTCAAGTGGCTACTCCTTACAAACAATCAACTTGGATCCGGGGAAGCTGATGACTTGAGCTTTATCTTTTCTCTGATCAATGCCACCAATTTACATCATTGGAAGTGAATATGAACAATTTTGGCTGCAAGTTTCCAGAATACATCGGTAATTTGTCGAGAAACCTTGAATATTTGAATCTAGACAATGATCATATATTCGGAAGCATTCCACCCGGGATTGTAAATCTTGTTGGCTTGCAGAGTTTGAGTATGCAGCTTAACCAATTCACTGGTACTATTCCAAGTGAGATTGGAAAGCTTCAAAATCTACACATATTGAATCTCGACAACAATTCATTGTCTGGTAACATTCCCTCTTCCCTAGGAAATCTAAGTTTGTTAAGTAAACTTGCTTAAAGAATCAATAATTTTCAGGGAAGCATTCCTCCGAGCCTAGGGAATTGTAGTAATTTGCAAATATTGCTTCTTTCTCAAAACAACCTTACTGGTGCCATTCCAAAAGAAGTTGTTTCTATCTCATCCTTATCTATATATCTAGACCTATCCCAAAACAAATTGAGTGGTTCTCTTCCCACGGAAGTTGCAAATTTGATAAACCTTTGTTACTTGGATGTCTTATATAACTTGTTATCTAGTGAAATTCTGAGCACTCAAGGCCGCTGCACAAGCCTGGAAATGCTGCATTTGGGGAACAACTTTTTCAACGAAACCATTCCTTATTCTTTGAGTTTCTTGAGAGGCCTTGGAGAGTTGGGTCTCGCAAACAATAACTTGTCTGGTGAAATTCCTATGTAATTGGAGAGCTTTATCTTGTTGCAAAATTTGAATATGTCTTTTAAAAATTTTGAAGGTGTAGTACCAACGCAAGGTGTATTTAGTAATGCAAGTACAATATCAATGGTGGGAAATAGTAAGCTCTGTGGGGGTGTAGTTGAATTGAATCTACCTAAATGCAACTTGAAAGTGGATGAAAAGAGGAGATCAAATAGTGCCTTCTATACCCTTTGGTTTTGTAGGACTAGCTCTCGTGGGGTGTGTTCTATATCTTTGCTGGTTTAAAAAGAGAAGAAAAGATTCTCCAGATTCATCAAAAAATTTACTCTTGAGGGTGTCTTACCAAACTCTTGTTAAAGCCACTGATGGCTTGTTAATGTCTCGTCATTCAATTTAATCGGTGTTGGTAGTTTTGGGTCTGTGTACAAAGGAGTTATTAATGAAAGAATTGTCACTGTGAAGGTACTTAATCTTTTGTGACATGGAGCTTCAAAGAGTTTTGCATCCGAATGTGAGGCACTAAGAAACATCAGACATCGAAATCTTGTCAAGGTGCTAACGGCATGTTCGACGATAGATTATCAGGGTCATGACTTCAAGGCCCTGGTTTATGAGTTCATGGTCAATGGGAGCCTTGAAGAGTGGTTACATCCAAATTGCAATGAAGATTTGTCAAATGAAGAGTTTAAGAAGCTAAACCTTCTTCAAAGACTAAATATTATCATTGATGTTGTTTGTGCCTTGAATTATCTTCACAACCAGGCCCAATCCCTGACAGTCCACTGCAATCTTAAGCCAAGCAACATTCTTCTGGACAAAGATATGACTGGGCATGTTGGTGATTTTGGGTTAGCAAAATTCCTTGCTGACCATGCCACCCATGGCTTGTTTGCAAATGAAAATGCAATGCAATTGAAACAATGCAAACTAAGTGCAAAGCAATTGAATCATGATCCAATCATGAGCGGTTCGAAACCATACCTATGTCAAATAGATTGATGGAGGTAACAAGTCCGTCTACCATAGAACGGTCAACTGAACTATGAGTAATGTAGACGGACACAAGCACAAGTATTAGGGGGGATTGACATAAGTGGGGAAACGACCCGCTGGGGAGAGGACAACGATCCTAATGCCGGATGCAAAAATTACACTATAATGTAATGCAGGGGAGATGGCAATGGATATGGCACGCGGGCCAAACCAAATCTTGCCTAGGCAAGGCATGTACGCATACAAGCCATGTTTAACATAGAACGGTCTACTGAACTATGCTTTGACACGAGAAGTATGGGCACATACCGGACCAAGCTCAACATGGAAAGACGCTAGCCATAAATGGAAGGTGATGCAATGAATGCATGCAAGCGACAATGTAATATCTACAAATATGCAATGGATATGGTACGCATGCCAAACCAAATCTTTGCATAGGAAGGGCATGTACACGTACAAGCCGCGTCTAACATAGAATGGTCCACTGCACTATGTTTCGACGTGAAAAGTATGGGCACATACCAGACCAAGCTCAACATGGAAAGGCGCAAGCCATAGGCGGAAGTGATGCAGCGAATGCATGCAAATTACAATGCAATATATATGGCACGCGGGCCAAACCAAATCTTGCCTAGGAAATGCATGTACACGTACAAGACGCGGCTAACATAGAACGGTCCACTGAACTATGCTTTGACACGAGAAGTATGGGCACATACCAAACCAAACTCAACATGGAAAGGCGCGAGCCATAGATGGAAGTGATGCAGTGAATGCATGCAAATTACAATGCAATATACACTATATTATAATGATGCATGACAATGCGATTGTTTGTTTTTTTTTGTTTTTTTTTTTGAAATGCAAATGCATGATGATGCATGTTGCATGGAATGCGCGACAACACGCAGCTTTTGAGATGCACGACAATGCGAACGAACTGTGCACATCAATGCACTAAAGGTCTTGCACCTTCCAAGGATTTACGGTCCCCTAGACTGTACAATACCTGTGCGGTTCGTCTGGTTGCACCAGCCTCAAATGAACCATACATACAATATCGTGCCTGCAAAGAAAACAAACTTAACAGGTATAATGTGATTAACAATATGCATAATAGTGCATTTGAAAATGCGTGACAACGCAAAGCAGGTGGGAAGCATAACAATGCTGTGTAAGCACAGACATGTAAGTGGAGCACGCGGTCTACGGGGGCAACGAAATTGATCATAAGCATGCGGTCTACGCAAGTAATGAAATTGAACATAAGAATGCGGTCTACGCAAGCAGAACATGCGGTCTACACAGGTAATGAAATTGATTACAAACATGCGGTCTACGTAACCAGAACATGCGGTCTACGCAAGTAAAATATGCGGTCTACGCGAGTAAAACATGCGGTCTACGCAGAGAAAACACGCGGTCTACGCGAGTAAAGAAATTAAACAAATCATGCGGTCTACGCAATCAAAACATGCGGTCTACGCAAGTAACGAATTTGAAAAAACATGCGGTCTACGCAAGCAAAACATGCGGTCTACGCAAGTAATGAATTTGAATAAGCATGCGGTCTACGCAAGCAAAACATGCGGTCTACGCAAGTAACGAATTTGAACAAATCATGCGGTCTACGCAAGCAAAACATGCGGTCTACGCAGGTAATGAAATTTGAATAATCATGCGGTCTACGCAAGAAAAGCATGCGGTCTACGCAAGTAATGAAATTGAACAATCATGCGGTCTACGCAAGCAAAACATGCGGTCTACGCAAGTAATGAAATTGAACAAATCATGCGGTCTATGCAAGCAAAACATGCGGTCTACGCAGGCAATGAAATTGAACAATCATGCGGTCTACGCAGGTAATGAAATTTGAATAATCATGCGGTCTACGCAAGAAAAGCATGCGGTCTACGCAAGTAATGAAATTGAACAATCATGCGGTCTACGCAAGCAAAACATGCGGTCCACGCAGGTAATGAATTTGAACAATCATACGGTCTACGCAAACAAAACATGCGGTCTACGCAAGTAATGAAATTGAACAAATCATGCGGTCTACGCAAGCAAAACATGCGGTCTACGCAGGTAATGAAATTGAGCAATCATGCGGTCTACGCAATCAAAACATGCGGTCTACGCAAGTAATGAAATTGAACAAATCATGCGGTCTACGCAAGCAAAACATGCGGTCTACGCAGGTAATGAAACTGAACAGTCATGCGGTCTACGCAAGTAATGAATTTGAATAAGCATGCGGTCTACGGAATCAAAACATGCAGTCTACGCAGGTAATGAAATTTGAATAATCATGCGGTCTACGCAAGTTACAAAATGCAAAATGCAATGAGGTGCGCAAAACCGCGCGATGTGTTTCAAACAACGCGAGCGCACAAGACAGTGCGATTGATATGCGATACGCATGGGGCGACTTTTGAGTTTTGTAAAAGCCAAAAGGATACGAAAAGGATACACCTTGCACGAATTCGAGTGCCACGCACAGAAGACACGACCCGAGGTCAAAACGGAGGCCGGCTGAGCGTCGAAAATGCACTGTTTTGCACTGTTTTGAGCAGTAGAGGCTCTGGACCCCACAAATAACTCAAAAAAGGGTGTAGGAGGCTCCAAAATCACTGTAGGAGACCACCGGATGTCCACCGGCCATCAGAATGAATCACCGGCCGTTCACCGGCCATCATACAATTCCATCGGCACAATATTTTGCCGACCGGCAAAGAGTGTGGCCGACCGGCAAAGAATTCCTGTGTCGGGACAGTTTTGTCATTTTGCTACGGGTCTTTTAATATAGGGTTTCTAACCCTATTTTCTTCACTTTTCCTAAGTCGAAAATCCTTCCCCCTCCCCTCTAGGGCATTTTCCTCCCTTGATTATCTCATTTTCTGGCGTTCTAGCTCCCATTTCGTTGTTCGATTCGCGATCGCCTTCGCGTTTCGGACATTTTCAACCGAACGAAACTTCGTTTCGGTGTTTCCTTCTTGATTTTCGCCACTCGGGGCTTGTTTCCCTCGAGTTTTTCTCGATACCCGTACCTTTTCCGTACTCCGACTTTTCCGACCTTTTCGGACCCTCTCGGGGTTTGACTTTTTGTTGACTTTTCGCATTCTTGCCCGGTTTTCCATCTTCCGGCCATTTTCACATCCACTTCGAGATGGAGGACGATCTTCCACAGGGCGGAGCCCCTCCAGAGCACGAGATGGACCCTGAGGTCGAGCCCTTGCCACTCCGCGTCCGGCCATTCGATCCGGAGACCTACAGGCCCGCGGTTCACGAGATGCTTCCTGACGGACTACGCCAGTTCAGGAGCTTTGATAGGCACGTGCCTCCCGAGCTACTACTGCGTGAGCCTACCTCCCACCTGTCCTTCGGCGCTTCCGAGGTAACTTTCTTTCTCTGCTTTACTTTCTGCAATGTAGGATGCAAAACTGCCGTAGCTAGTTATGCTCTTTAACTGGTTAACTCTGATGTACTGTATACTGTAGTTGATCGTAAACATACGTGCAACTGATATCTGTTTGGAGACTGACACATGCACATACACTGCACTGACCTCGAATCACCCGAACACACGGCGCACACTGTATTTCACTGCATACACACCGGTACCCAGTATCTGTTAAAACTTGCACGCATGCTACATTTGCCTTGAACCACTCAAACACGCTGACACATCACACGTTGTAGTTCACTCTGAGCACACCGGCACCCGGTATTTTCTTGAGTCTGAAAACATGCACGCATGCTACATCTGCCCTGAACCACCCAAACACACTGACACATCACACGCTGTAGTTCACTGGCGAGCACACCGGCACCTGGTATCTGTTTGAATTTGTTAAAAGTTGCACGCATGCTATATACTTATATGCTTTTTAGAACTGCATTTTGAATATTGCCTTGCAATTGTTGTTTTTGATTACAGGGGATTCCCATACCATCCGCGGGTATGGGAACACCGGCGTTCGGGACTGGTACCTCGAGCTGCTAGATGCGGTCCGTGACATCATCGACGAGGCCGGCTTTGGCATCTTCTGCAGGGGGCTCTCTCGACTGACTACCTGCAGGCCTTTGTTCGCTGCTCTAGCGGAGAGGTGGTGGGATACCACCGACTCCTTCCACTTCTCCGTCGCGGGGGACATGACGATGACCCCTTACGACTTCTCGATGCTTACTGGCATTGGGGTAGGGGGTGATCCGATCCCCTTTGACACGGATATGGACGAGTGGGACGCTGCCCAGCTGTACCTGCTTGGCACTCAGCCTCCCCTCGCTCGAGCGGGGTTCGTTAGGTACTCGTGGTTTGAGAGCCACTTTCGAGTCCAGCCGGCCTTGGCAGAGGAGGCGCAGATGCCTCCAGAGGAGGTGGACCAGTATGCGCGGGGCTTTATCATGTTCCTCTTCGGGGCGACTCTCTTCGCCGATCGGGCGAACACCGTGCCCTTATGCCTGTTAAGCGCGCTGGTGGACGTCAGGCAGATCCGCCATTATGACTGGGGCGGCGCCGCTCTGGCCACTTTGTACGGGTATATAAGCTATTCTTCCCGCCTCAGCGGACAGCTCCTTGGTGGCTACTGGTGAGCCTAGGAGGTACGTCTTCTTCCCTTTTTACATTTCTACTTCCTGCTTTCTGTGTTCTGCACACTGCACATATACTGTACACTGCCCCACACTGACTGTACACTGCACACCCGGCACACATATACTCTGCTTTACACTGACTGCACACTGCTCACACTATACACCCTGCACAATATACTGCACAACACACGGTTCTGCTATTTTACTTTATTCTGTATTTTGCCTTATCTGATAGTCGTACTGATA